TAATTGAGCAGATGCTCACCGGAAGGTCAATTATTTCACTGCTGGGAGCTTCAACGAAGTGCAGATCTTTTCGAAGGGGTACACTTCATGGAGGTGTGTTATCTCCACTTGTCTGGATCTTAACAATGTACAAAATATTGGTGGATCTGAAAAAGAGGGAAGGACATGTTGTGGCCTGCGCTGACGATGTAGAAGTTCCGTTTAGAGGAAAATTCCCGAATACCCTCGCTAGCCTCAAGCAAACTATTTTAAATGGTATTAATCGAGTGGCCGTTTCATGTGGATTGAACTTGAGTGAAAGGAAGACAGAGCTAGTATTGTTTACTAAGAAACACAGTATTCCAGAAATTGCGCCGCCTTTATTAAATGATATCAGGCTAGCAATAGGAGACAAGGCTAGCCCCTTGGGACTAATTTTAGATAGGAAGCTTTCATGGGAACCAAACTTGGAAGCTGGGGTAAAGAAAGCAGCTACAGCACTTGGGCCCAAATGAGGTTTATTGCTTCGGTTTGCACACTGACTCTGCACAGCAGTTGTAAGGCCGATTATGACTTATGGTATATTGGTATGGTGGCCAATAACGGAAAAGAAATACGTGGTAAGATGTGTTACTTAAAAACTTCCAGTTTCTTCCTTACCGCGGATTTTCGACATCCTACAGAGTTGAATTAAAATCCGGCCCCAATCCGGGGGTTCCAAACTAGATAATCAAGTGAGCGGTGGTGTCTTCTATGCAAAACTAGAACCACAATCGCCTTCCTTCTTCCAGACCACTGTAGTGTCTTCCAAGCGGAGGCCACAGCAATTAAAGAAAGCCTTCTTGTTTTCAGTGTGCTCAGAGAGACTATTAACCCTTAAAAGGCTGATAACTCCGATTCATTAAAAATGTTGATATGTATTAAACAACATTTTTTCTACGATTTTCTTTAAAAAATTGTTATATTGGTTGGTAATTTGAGAAATTATTAGGTGCTCATTTAAGTATATTGTGAGAAGTAAATATCCATACGGAATTCAGCCCACACAACGCATGAAGATGCACCCTGTTAAACAAATACAACATAGCAAGAGTATAGAAGAAGAAGTAAAAACGAAACATAGCAAGCGCTTATGCACGATACGGTAAAATCACGCCACGTAAACAACACAACAAGTATTGGTCTACAACGGGAAAACCACGCCACTTCTAGCAACACACGCCATCCTAAAGCAACATGTTGCGATCGCGTGAGCAAGCAACACACGGCTAAGCGGAAAGCTAACAGGCCGATCATCGGTCTTTACCGTACGAAGGCTGGAAGTCACACGTGAAGTGGGTAGTGAGTCGCTCCTCTGACCTGCTCCACACATGGCATCGCGGCCGCTGCCACTGCCCCCTGTAATTCTGCGTTAGCGCTATCATCGGGTGACGCCACTACAACGCGGAAGACACCATTTTGTACAGTAAAGTAAACGCAGGAGAAATTGTAGATGTATGGAAATTTAATAAAATACGATTTGTAGAAAGCCCCATAGTTTACAAATTTATTGTAACGAACCCTGGACACGGCGAGTATACCTCAGCAAATCACAAGAAGCAGGGGCAGCAAAAAACAGCTTCAAAAATCCATATATGATTAAAATTATTAGTAAACTGTTAAAAGATACATTAGTTACTAGGGAAATCTAGAAAACAATCTTGCTGTGAGGATAAACAAAAAGATCTACCTTATTTTATGCAATAAATTTGCGTACGTGCGTGCTGATGAGCACCTGATGGTTACTTAAGAGACGATTTAAGTTTTATTTCATAAAATTTGAATTTAAACTTGCAAAATTTATATCAGCACTTACATCAAATTAAATTGCAATAACGATGAAGATTCCAAATTGTCAACACTAATTTATTACTCTTACTTTCGCACTAGTCACTTGAAAGTACAAACTTTTCCTTGAAATTATTTTTTTGATGCCCTCTTACTCAAGTCAAAACGTAAATGATTACAAAGCTCACACAAGTGGCGACTGAACTGAAAGTTGACGGATATATCAAATCAACAAGTACCGTGATGTAATATTTAAAAATGCTTGTAATTTTTATAAAAATAGCGGTTGGTTCCTGGAGGAACCGCCAACGTTTAAGGGTTAAACATCTTCTATGCGATTGTAAGGCGCTATATAGGAAAATAATTGCAACTATCAATTGTTCCTTGACGACATTGCACAGATAAAACATTTTTTACTGATGAACACAATGAGCCTCCTAAAGGCCTAGGTACCTCGTTGGACCGTCAATCTACCTACCTACTCCACTGAATAACCCCAATGCGATACATTGACGCCCCTAGAATTACAAAAGGCAAATGTGCTCTAATCGCATCAACTCAAATGCGCTAATTCAGCCGCAATATATCACTATTAAGAGTATCAAAACCCATTGATACATGGAGTTCACTCTTAGTTCTTAACCCATTCCTAGACAAAAAAGGTCTACTTCGTGTGAATGGTCAGCTTGCCAATTCAAGCCTAACGTATAACGAACGCCACCCTCTGATTATACCAGAGTTGTCTTGACTTGCCACATTACTCCTCAGTTATATCCACTTACTTTTGCTTCACGCGGAACATCGCCTAATGCAACATATAGGCCACCAAAAGTTCTATATCCCCCGACTTAAGCCCCAAATAAAAAAGTGCATTTTTATGCGCAATATCTGCACTATGTATAAGCAGAAGTTGCGAACGTACGTTATGGCAGTACTTCCACCGGAACGCTGCAACTTCGTTCTTCCTTTCACCATTACTGGTGTCGATTTTGCTGGGCCTTTTGAGATAATGAAAGGCTATGTGGCTGTGTTTGTTTGTTTTACGCAGTTTACCTCAAGCTATGTACGAATCTGACAAAGAAAGCTTTTCTCGTGGCATTTACTCGATTCGTCGGACGACGCGGTTTTTCATCAAAACTAATGAGCGATAATGGCTAAAACTTTAACAAAGCCCAAAGAGCCACTGAAAATCATTTTGTGGATTTCATTAAACAAGTATGGCCTGAGATTGTACAAAAGTACGCTCCCCAAGGTCTTAATTGGCAATTTATGCCCCCAAGCGGTCTTCATATGGGTCATTTGTGGTAATCAGCTGTAAAAATCTTCAAGAGTTCTTTTAAAAAGTAGCTGAAAACTACAAATTTAATTATGAAAAGTTCACCATATTATTAATATGAATTGAAGCCGTTCACAATTCACGGCCACTCACTCAGACTTCATAGACATAGCGTTTTCTCATAGGAGAACCGATTCTGGATACCTGAGCCAGTAGGCTGATATTATTATTAATTCGATCGGATAGAGTCAAAATTCTCCATAATGATTTCAACCGCCGATGGAAGTAAGAGTAAATAAAGGACCTTCATCAAAGGTACAGATGGAATACTCCAGAAAAGGCGCCAAAGCTTTGAGAATAAGTCATCATCTATGAAGGTTTTCTACCCCCCACCGAATAGCGGCTTGGAAGCATAGAAAAACTACATTATGGTTCCGACGGTCATATACGAGTAGTTGTTCTCCGTGCTTAAAGCGGAACGCTAACAAGACCGCTCGTGAAACTATGCTTTCTGGCAACCTCATATAATAATAAAAACGCAAATAATGAACAATCCGCTGATACTACCGCAACAAAAATGAAATAATCAAATAATAAAGCGATAAATCCGAAAATAAAAAAACCGTTGAAAATAGTAACAAACCTAACCGCAATGGTCGATCCACATGACGACCCATTCCTGACACATAACGTGGCATAATTGCCCATATACATTTACATGCGACATACGTACATATTATATAATCATAATAACCTCTACAGATCAATATGCATGTGAATATGCCAACAGCACCAACGCCAACTGTGAGGTCGGCCATTAATGTGCCGCGACCTGGGGCAACTCCAGCGCCACGAACCACAGCGGCAACCATCCCTGTTAACGTAATTTCCAAGGCATGCAGCCCATGCAACTCCAGCAGGTTGCCCAGGCTCATGGGTACTGCATAAGTTGCTTGACCATGGTACACGCTACACAGAAGTGTACATCCGCCAGGGGAGCTACGCTTCCCCCTCAACGCACACCACTGAACGCCAATACACCACACCAACGCAAAAATCCACCACTCACGCAGATATCACATACCTATACACACAGGATGCTACACACCACAACTCTATACCTCCCAACGATCAAAACGGACTGCCCGAGCACCTGAGGCACTTCTCTTTGCGTGAATCTTGAACCGTCCGCTTTATTTTACCCCAAAGCACATGAAATCAATCCTAAGCTTCTCAAGACCCAATATATAGATTTCCGAACTTGTTTGGTTGAATTTTTATTGTGTATAGGTATATCAATTATAATTACCAAAATTTAGTGTCTACTTACTTGATCAATATAAAGTTTTACCAAGATCAGAAAATCTTTCATCTGTATCCCCCGATCCAGATTATAGTAGTGTTTTAGGTATCACAACGGGCCGGCGTTTTAAGCTGTCCAAGTGAGATCCCTCTTGGGATCGACCTCCTAACCTAACCTAAAACCCGATCGATTGATTTTTCCACTAACTTAAACCACCGAACGGTTGAAAATACATTATATACAAAATACGTGTTAATTTTTCCACATAATTGGTTAAAAATATATGTTATTTCAAAAAAAATTTACCCTGAATTTCCCCGGTTAATTGCTTTAATTAAAAAAATAATCGGGCACGCCGCACATAAAGCCTCCGTCAGTTTGTCTTTCGTCGTTCGTATTTTTACGTTTAAAATTAAAAATATTATTTAAATATTATTACTAAATAAATACTTAAAGTGCACACAAGCGGGATTCTTGTAATTGAATGAATTGTTCAATAAATGAATATCGGTAAATTGATTCCCCGGTTATTTTAACCAAAAATTGTGCAATTTTTGAAGTGTAATTACCCGGGGGATATTGTAGAACTAAGTAGAAGCAGATGAATATACTTACTCCCAGAATTCTTTAACTGGATCGGTCAGTTCTGATGCGGTGATATTTGCTAAGGCTAGAGAACACATTTTTTTTACTGTTCCATTTATGGAATCCTCCCAGCAAATTAAATTGTTGCGCTCGTATGGATTGACACAATTTACGGTATTCCAGAAATTATTACAAGAACGCCAAGGCACATCTACAAACGACAGATTAAACAGTTTGGAAAACACATCAGAAAAATTTTATTTTAAAAATGGTAAATATTTTAAAAAGAGTTCTCAAAAATAGTGCACGTATATTTTCAATTAAGTTTTCAGTTTAACTGAAGAGACTCGTTAGGAAACTCTTATCGTTAATTTATGATTCAAATTCTGTAACATAACTTTATTCGCAAATGGAATAAAAACAACCGAAGTGAATGCCTAAATCATCAGGTCCTCGAAACGAATTGACTTCGTTGTTGTCTGTCCGTCCGTCTGTGCGCGCAAACGAGAACTACTTGAAAATGTGTAAAAGTGCGATAATTCTTTAAAATATCGTCATAAACAATTAGTTTTTCAGCAAAGGTAGTCCGATTTGTCGGAGTCGCGCCGCTCACTTTTCGGTGAAACCTCATATACACGGTGGCTCAGAAATCGTGCTACAAAACCAAACCGTAATAAATTTCTTTCTTTGTGAGTAATCGACTTACTTTTTTTTATTTGACAGGCTATTATTTAAACTTTTTATTTTGATCTTAACGGAAATGTAAACAAGATTGCCATACATGGTGTGAATCGATTTGATAATTTGAAATAATCCACGGAACCGGAACGGACCCGGATTTTATCCGGCTAAGGACTGTCAACTCGACAGAATTATGCCGTTACAATAACAAGAACCATAATTTTTAAAAATAATTAATTATATAAAATGAAACAAAATTTGCTATGCAATAAAAAAAATGTAATGCATTGAATAAAAAAAAAAGTTATACTGTTTGTTTTTGTAGCACGATTCGTGAGCCACCCTATTTAAGTACTACCCATCTAATTTAAAATGTTGTGCATAACCACGATATCCCGATATTTCTGCTAGAAAATGGGCAAAATCAGAATAACATCAAGCCAAATTTTGTTAAAATAATCATAACCAATAAAGATATCGGAATAAAATATTCTACAAATGATGCCCTAATGGTATGGCACCCCTGATTTAAAAATGGGTGATTGCGAACTAGGTATGGAATTTTGGATTCCAGTGTCTATGTCCAACTCTATAACAAACATATCAGTCAATCAATAAGGTATATTTGGTGTAATTACAAGAGAATATTTTCCAGATCACAACGTCGCCTACCACTTCCCCTAGGCCCCACATTCATATGTACCTATTCTAATTATTTTCAAACTTCCGGTTAACTTTAATGCGTATATATTCGTAATTGTGTAATCTCATACATCATAGTTTGGTTCGGCAAATGAGTGAAAACGAACTGCTTATGGTACATGTTATTTTAGATATTCTAGTATACCCGACAATAACGAATATATTGTTCAGTTGACTACTTTGGTCGTCGTGAGAGAAACTGCAACTATGAAATGAGATGAGTACGAAAGTAAGCAAACACAGTGAAAGTTATTTAAACTAAAAGAAACATTTTCATTCTTTCGACAACCGCCTAACGGTTAGCGAGCGCTAACCATCACTCAAAAATTGACATATTCTGATGAAAAGTGATAAAAAATTATCTTGGCACTCTGCGAAGGATGGAGATAGAAAATATCACAGATGCAGATAGAAAATATCACACCATATCTCATAATCTTATAAATCTAAGTCAGCAAAACTTGGTGAGAACGATTTAAGTCCGATACAAAATGTGAAATTCAAGTAATATCCAAACCTCCTCACATATTTTTGGCTCCTTTGAAGATAATTTGGTTCATAAAATTTCCGTAGCATCTTTATGACCTATTTTAAAAATTTGAGAATTTGGACAACAAACACACATACTTTTCATATAACGCCAGTCTGGGCGGTTTTTTTTTTATTACGTAGGTGCCTTATCGTAGATGTTCGGGTGTATTCGAACATTTTTTACTCTCGTTACTTGAAGAATCAAAGCCTGGGAAACACCTTCAGGTGTTGGCCAAACTTTATACGGGAAAGTATTGCAGTGGTTTCACCCATTTAGGGCAAGACAATACACTATTATGGGAAAGATATTCTTTCTAAATCTCATTAAGACTTCTTACATATTCATCGATAGATGCGGTACAAAGTGAACCGGAAGTTCGAAAAAATTTATGTAAGGTTTATGGAGACTAAGGGAAGTGTTGAATCAATTTTACACATTTTTGGCACAAGTTATAGTTCGATTTCGACAATTTTTTTACGTAAGATGAAATAACTTGAGGGCACTACTTGCGGTTGTCATTCGCCCATTTTCACAATTTTTAATTGAATCGTTTGGGTAACCTTACACACTAAATTTGGTTGAAATCGGTAAAGTAGTTTCTAAGATATATGCTTTTACCTAAAGGTGGGCGGTGCTACGCCCATTGTCCAATGTTTACCCCTGCTTTCATAAAGTTTTCCTTGCAATGCTGTTTGTGAAATTTAGTGCTTGTGGCGGATTTATTCAGTGAATTGTCGCACCTTTAGTAGTTTTCACTAAAACTGTTATACTGGAAGTGGGTGTGGTTATTTACTATCTGATTTTACCCGTTTTATCAGAGTTTGAAGAGCTGCCAAAATTACTTCTTATCTAGCTTGGGTGATATAGCTTTAGCGGTTTGGAAAATATGTAGATAAATTAATTTTGGGGGCAGGCCACGCCCACTTTTAAACATTTTTTGCTCCACAGGTGTCTCATGCTACTATCTATATCATAATTAAGTACTTTGTTATGGCACTTTATAGGGTCTGATTACGCCCATTTACTACATCAATTTTTTCTTACTTTTTTTCCAAGGAATACGTGTACAAAGTTTCATTAAAATATTTCAATTTTTGCTCAAGTTATTGCTTGCGCAGACAAACAGACGGAAAGATACACAATCACTCGGAGTTCAACTCGTCACGTCATCCTGATCACTTATATACAATATATATACCTATATGTATAACTCGATATCTACTCGATTAGGTGATACAAACAACCTTTAGGAGAACAAAACTATTATACTCTGTAGCAAGTAGTTTGAAATCTATTCAATTCGGCATACGTCGGATATAGAAAATTAAGTATACTTTATTCAAATGATGTGAGCATGCTTTCTTCATCATAACATACATAGTTTGATTCAAAAAATGGGTTATAGGAATTTGGACGCTCCGGTTAGTTCGTTATTTTAATTTTCATCGCTCGAGTTGACATTATACGTATATAAAAGTAATAGGGTATATTTCTCTTATTATATTATGGATCAGGATCAAAAATAAGTAATATTGTTCCTTATTAAATAATATTAGTATTTAATGTTCGCTGCAACCGAACTAACCTACCTTTCTGTTCACATAATTCGAGATCCAATATTTCTAAAACTTTCTATGTTATTTATTGTTCGATTCTTCTCGAATTAATATTTTTTAACCCTTCGCCACTTGATTTTCTCAAACCTATTGTTATGCATTTTTAACAAAACTTATTCGTTTTTTGTAAGTACTTACCTGCTTTCATAGACATAAAAAAATAAAAAACGGCCCATGCCAGAATTACGATATAGTAAACGTTCATCCAGCAAGACATTACAGCAGCAGCGTAGCCAATGCCTAAAAAAATAAAATAATTTATTAGTAATGAAGCTAAGTTTGTTAGAGTTCACCGAACGGTTGTTTGTATCACCCGAGAAACGAGATAGATATAGGGCTATGTACACATATGTAAATGATCAGGATGACGAGGCGAGTTGAAATCCGAATGAGTGTCTGTCTTCTTGACAAAAAATTTAGATATCGTAATGAAACTTTGTACACGTGTTCCTTGGAAAAAGAGCGATTAAAGAAAAACCTATAAAGTGCTATAACTAAGTACTTAACTAAGATATAGAACTGTAATTTGGCAGTAGCAAGAGGCACCTGTGGGCCCAAAAATTTTTAAAAAATAGACGAGGCGCCGCTCTTGAAAAGGTTTAATATACGTATCTCTCAAACCATTAAAGCTGTCATATCCAAATGGGCTCAGAACAAATCCACTAAGTACCACTACCGACACTGTAAAAATGGATGAAATCGGTTTACTCCCCATATACCGGTACTCTTAAAAACTACTAAAAGCGCGATAAATCAATACATCTATACGCCAGAGACATAAAATTTTACACCCGGGATGGTATGAGGAGGCTTTTGAGAAGGCTTTATGGGGTCAAAATAAGATGATGGACGTGGCACCGCCTACATTTAGGTGAAACCCCGTGACTCAGGACTTTCTAGACCGATAGCGACCAATGCCTTATTATCTTCACATTTATATGTTTCAGTGCAAAAATGGGCAGAATCGGACTACAACCACGCCTATTTTCCATATAACACAATTTTAAATTCCATCTGATTCATTCACTTTGAAGTATGCAAATCAAGCACTATATCGGAATTAAATTTTGCACGAATAGTGCGCCGGAAGTAAAAATTGTCAAAAATCGGAATTCAAGCCGCAGATACCGAATATGTGGTCCCCAGTTCCTACAACGAACATTTTGTCGAAAATATCGATCATTTATTGGAATGCGGAGCAAGTGCTTTCTTGATGCCTATATGTCAAAAGTGGGTTGAATCGGATGAGAGCTTCTCTTAAACGCCGTATATCTAATGTCAATTTATGTTACAACATTACATGTGGTAACTACTTCACTTCGAAACACAATTAAATTTGAGAACCCTGAAAATAAAAATTTTTATATCATGGATTTTTAGAATTATTCTCGAAGACAAAAATGATATACATATGTATATGTCGACCTAACACATATGAACGGGACTACCAATTTGACTGGTACTACCCAGATCTATTTGATCAGCTCATTTACCTTACGATAAATATTATATTTAACCTGCAACTATTCAGAATAAAGAATTTCCGGAGGAAACCTTCTAAAGGAGAAAGTTTGTATGTATGTTCCTTATAAACTCCAAAATGGCTGGACTGATTCCAATGAAATTTTCAGATGATCTTCAGGATGGCCCAATCATATGTGCAATTTAAGTTTTTATTTAGCTTTTAGTAATGATATATAATATAAATAATATCTTCAACTTTAAACGGAGAAAATATAAGGAATGAAAAGGCATCATTGCTATAGAAAATAATAACTTAAGGAACAAAAACAATTTGTATTATTGTACTAGCTGACCCGGCAAACGTTATATTGCTATATACGTCATTTTTAGGAAATAAATTTTTTAGGAAATACTTTTAAATATAAATAAATGGGTGGGGGATGGAACTATAAGAATGAAGATAAATCATATGAATATTAAATTCCTATTATTGATAGCTACCTATATGCGCATCGAAAATAGTTCTTATTTGTACTACTAATTAGTTCAATTAAAAATAAACAAAGATCTCTCAACGCAATGGAGTGTACAATATTTTGGGTCAATCTATCTAATAGAAACTATAAAGAAACTGGATGCTTTGCTCACGCGAGAACATGCCACATAAAGTTGTCCGTTGGAAAATAATGGTGTATCCAAATCTTATTCACAAACAAACAACGTTTGGCTTTGTGTGTTATTTGAGTGCATTTAAATTCAATTGGCACATCTGTAAGAGCATACAGCAATACATTTTCGCCTCGAAACTTGCTATTCAAAATAGTGGCTTCGTTAATGTTTTTCTTTAATTTTTTAATAACTACTCTTGTGCCATTGCAAAGCCGCGATGGATTCAAATTGCGAAGCCAAATAATCGGAGATCCAACGTTCAGTTGTACATGATGCGGTGGATGCCTGGCATATCCTATGAATTCAAAAACTCAATTGGATAATTCACAGCCTCGTTGACATCGACAAGTCCCCTAGGAACAACTGTTTTGTCTTTGAATTTAATCCATTGACGTCCACATTTTTTGCGGTCAAAATCAATCCTTCTGCCAACCAATATATATAGTTTTTGTGTACATCGGGAAGTATATGGTATTGTTGATGAGAGTATTTTGTGAGTTGAAGATTGTGCAGGAATCCATCGGTAATTTTATGCATCCAGTATTTTTATGTACAGCAACTTTTTCATTGCCAATATCTAACAGTTGTTTTTAGAAAGTTTCGGCAGAAAGATCTTGAAGTATTTATACACCCATGTTCACTGTCAGTTGCATTTTTTCAACATTACGCCACAGTCACGATGATTTTAAGAAAGTGTTGATTTTATCCACGCCCTTTGAAAGTAGAATAAAGGGAAGTGTCTGTCCGAAATTACCTAAAAGTAGTTACAAAGTGTCGCCAAACAGTTTGCCGTGTTTTTAAGCTATTGCATAGCTTCTATCGGCTTCGAGCGTGGGGACTGACCCAAGAAATTCCGTAACGGAAACAAACCTAACACGACAAATTATGCGCAAGCGGAGCAAAACAATTGCAGTGACAGCAGGTTGATTCAAAAGTAATAATATTTATGATTTTTTTAATAGCAAATAAAAATATAGAATTTAATACAAAATAATATAATAATAAATTAACTTTTCAATATTCGGAGTCATAATACTAATATTAATAACGTTATTGATATTAGGTCAAGTAAAAAGTTCGAAATATTTTGATAAATAGCTACCCCACCTTTGGGAACAGTATCTCGTTTTACTTGAACAATATAATAAATTTCCCCAATAAATTTCCACTTATCTTGGCTGACGATTTCGACATCAACATCGCTGATAAAATATCAGAGCGGTTGACACCTTTTCTTTCGAAAATCGATCACAACGCAACAACAAAAAGTGTAACTTGAATTAATATCAAAGAAAAAAATTTAATTATTATGAAAGAAAAAAAAATTATAATTGCATAAGTTGATAAAAAAATGATATGCAATAGCTTTACCGCTTTACCCCGAGTTCCACACGAACTTCTTTATTATATTTTGATATCGTATCCAATGCCTCAAGCGAATGTTTATGTGCCATAGTGCATTCATCCCAAATGATTATTTTACATTGTTTCAGCACTGTGGCCATGGACGCCTGTATTTTTATGTTACAGACTGCATCTGGGTTATTGTGAGGGTTCATTGGCCTAAATGCTACATGAGCTGTTCTGCCTATATCTACTAAAGTTGCTGCGATGCCAGATGATGCAACGTCCATTGGGATGCCATTTGATGTTACCTCAGCAAGAAGTAGCGAATGTTTTGGCAATTTCTCCTTGTACAACTTTGCTCTGCTGAAACTGCCAGCTTAATGCGGTCGAAAATTGTTTTTTGTTCACCATTTAGCAATGGTAGAATTCGACAGTATCATACTTCATTTCACGATTTATATCTGTGTTGATTAAATCAGATGCACTTCGATTTGGTGAACTCTTACCGAAATGACTGATTGGTAATTTCACAATGACAATGCAATGATGATCAATAGCAATCAATGCTTCATTGTACATTGCGTCACTGAATGGTATCATTAGATTGTTGCCCCTTGTACTATGTTGATGCAATATATCATCAGTCATCGCATATTTGTGATTATTCCTCAATATTTGTGATCGGGCCTGGAAACATGTCGTCGGTACTATAGCAAATAGTAGACGAATTTGACTGATTGTCATCTTTTACCAAGATTGTCATCTTCTGCATCTTTATACGTGGCATACTGTTGTCGATTTACTTTACGTATTGTGTTTTCCGAAATGTTATTGGTCTGGTGACATTAACCAACAACAGTTGCAGATAAAAGCACTCAGTCTATGAATTTTTTTGATTGTTCCAATGTAAAATAGCGTGCTACTTTTGATTAGGAGTGTTTGTGCAAAGACAGCAGAAACGTACGCACGATTCCACAATTCAAAAAATGCAATGAGCTTAGTTTATGATGGATTTATAACTCTTTCAAGCGATGTTTCGTTCGTGAACGGCTTAGGCTGTTTTCGAGAAGCACAAAGAAATAATGTTAAATTCGCTATTAGAATGAATGAAAAAAATATAAGCCGACTTATTTTAATTCCTACTCCGTGATGTTTGCTAGTTGAAAAGTGACAACGGGTGACGCATGGCGCGGTTAACCGTAAACTAAACTAATTCTGTTTTTACACGGTAGATTGGTTCCAGAAAAACCGTGTATAAAAAGACTTTAATCATTCCCTAAATTTGTGCTATTTAGAGTTTCTCTTACCAGTAAACTTACTTGTATCCACAAAAATTTAATTCGTCTTAATTTGAGATATGAACACAAATTTGTGATATGAATTAAATCTGACAAATGAAATGTAAAACATTTGAAGCGTGCTAAAGGGAATAAAGTCGTGTAAATATTAAAAATTGTTTAAATTTCAAACCGTGTTAAATCAAAACGGTGCAAAAAAATACCACGTAAAAACAGAACTAAGTGTACTGCAATCATTATATTCGATTGCCTCTGGGTGGAATAGAATAATATGAAAATCGCGATAAAAATGGCGTTGATCGTATTGGTGGTAAAATTGAAAATTGCATATATTTTTCAACACTGAATCGTGCAAAAATATAAACAAAAAAATTAATATTTGGGGTGGGCCACTCTTAATATTTAGGGGTACAAAAAATAGATGTTGGCCGATTCTCAGATCTAACCGATAAGCACACCAAA